CATGCTTCAAATCGCTTGAAACTATTGTCATGGCAGTACGTATTTAATGTGAAGCTGCACTCTGATGTTGTAGGAGAAAACATTTATTAAAAAGTATATTTAACTAAGTAGAACGTGTTGTCTATGTTTATTTAAAGTTGCGCATTTTTACGTGACGTCACATTTCTCACCCCCCCCCCCCGTCACACATCGTCACAAATGTCTGACCCCCCCCGCCTCCTAGGTTCGTGACGTCATTTATGGACGACCCCTTACCATTTGTGCATCATTATCATCATTAGGTATCATCCGCATCTGCTGCGGATTAGGGATGTCCCACAAACAGCTTCGTTGTAGAATCAAACCCCAGGGGATCTTCTGCGTTGGGCCCTTTCACAACAACGCGGTGTTTGCGAGGTTATTTTGAACTCCAAATCTGTTCTCCAAGCTTCATGGCTATTACAAACCGTGAACCAGAAACCCCCCCCCCCCCCCCCGTTTTCTTATTGTCGCTTAAGAGTTTGCCATCTCCGGCAAGACCTTCAAAGGGCGCCGCCAAACCAATCCGTCAGCTTGCAGCCAAACCCTGTTGAATGGCTGAACGAACGCGGCCGTCGATTAACAACTTTCATTGCCGATCTAAAAACTATAAAGACCCTTGTCGCCACAAAATCCCAGACGAAGGGCGAAGAAGATTGCTCTTTTTTTACCTCGTGAACAATTTGTTAACGAACAAAAATAAGTCAATGGAATACCCTGGGACCAGTCTGGGACATGCTGGCGGGACGATGTCTTTCAGCTGGCCTGGGAACGCCTGGGAATTTCCCAGGAAGTGCTGGAGTCTGTATAGTAGTGTCTAGTGTAGTGTATAGTGTAGTGTATACTATAGTAGTGTATAGTATAGTGATGTAGAGTAGTGTATAGTATAGTGATGTAGTGTAGTAGTGTATAGTGGTGTAGTCGTGTATAATGTAGTAGGTATAGTCCTGTATAGTGTAGTGAATAGTAATGTCAAGTATAGTAATGTATAGTGCAGGGGTCGGCAACCTACGGCTCCGGAGCCGCATGCGGCTCTTTACAGGCTGCTTCTTGACGATATGTACAGTATGTACTCAGATGCATTGCGGCTCTTGAAATACTGAATTTTGTACCGAATTGGAAAGAAATGGCTCTTCTTGTTATTTTGGTTGCCGACCCCTGGTATAGTGTATAGTGTAGTGTATAGTGTAGTGTATAGTAGTGTAGTGTGTAGTAGTGTAGTGTGTAGTAGTGTAGTGTATAGTAGTGTAGTGTATAGTGTAGTGTATAGTAGTGGAGTGTGTAGTAGTGTAGTGTGTAGTAGTGTAGTGTATAGTAGTGTAGTGTGTAGTAGTGTAGTAGTGTATAGTGTTGTGTGTAGTAGTGTAGTGTGTAGTAGTGTAGTGTATAGTAGTGTAGTGTATAGTGTAGTGTATAGTAGTGGAGTGTGTAGTAGTGTAGTGTATAGTAGTGTAGTGTGTAGTAGTGTAGTGTATAGTAGTGTAGTGTGTAATAGTGTAGTGTATAGTAGTGTAGTATTTAGTGTAGTGTATAGTAGTGTATAGTAATGTATAGTGTAGTAGTGTATAGTGTAGTAGTGTATAGTGTAGTAGTGTATAGTGTAGTGCAGGGGTCGGGAACCTTTTTGACTGGGAGAGCCATAAAAGCCAAATATTTCTAAATATATTGCATTGAGAGCCATATAGTATTTTTAACGTATAATAAATTAAATATGTCTTACTTTTAATGCAACTTCTGGTGCTGCATGGTTTTGCTGATGGCCTTGTAGTCTGGTTCGTACGTGGTGAGGGTTGAGCTTCATGCAGGCGTTGAGGCCCCGTGACCCGTGAAATTTATCTTCAAAACTAATTTCTGTTTAGTTTAAAATGACATCGTATTATTAAGCAATATCACAAGTATTTTAAAATCAGTTCCAAACTTTTTTTTTTCAACTCAAAATTGTCTGGGAGCCATATGCCGTCACCAGAAGAGCCATATATGGCTCGCGAGCCATAGGTTCCCGACCTCTGGTGTAGTGTGTAGTAGTGTAGTGTGTAATAGTGTAGTGTATATTGCAGTGATGCAAGCGTCTATCGCTGGGACAATCGGATTGAGAAATTAACGATTGTGACACCAATTACAACCCAATACCGGACTGAACAATGCGATAACGCAGTAGTATCCCAAAATCTTAAACGTAAGTGCAGGACTAGACCGGGTTGTTCCGCACATTCACGACGCAGTGTCACGGGTGCGACAAATCTGCGTCGCTTTGCATAGGGGGCCGTCCATAAATTACGTCACGCACCTAGGGAGGGGGGGGTCAGACATTTGTGACGATATGTGAGTGACGATGGGGGGGGGGGGGTTGAGAAATGTGACTTTACATCAAAATGTACACCTTTAAATAAATATAGAATTGTTATATTTTGATTTAAAGCTTTCGTGACTGCAGGGATTCATCTTCTTGGTTCTTTCGGTAAAGTCACGTAGAAGGGAAGTAATAAAATAATAAAAATAAAACATAATAAAATTATTCTCACGACGTTTCGGCCACAACGCAAGCAGCCGTCCTCAGGTGAAAACCAGGTCCGTCGAGGCGACAGTCCGAATTGTTATAGCAACCATAATTGTTATAACAACACTCCTGCAACATCCGAGTGCAGCGCCACATTAAATACGCACTACAATGACAACAGTTTAAAGCGATTTGAAGCATGTTTTATATTCAAAATTTAAATATGGATTTTGGGGGGGGGCAGAGTTTTGTGACGTCATATTCGAGGGGGGGTCTGACTTTTTGTGACGCCGTGTGACGAGGAGGGGGGGGGGGTCAAAAATCGTCCAAAATCGCGTGACGTCATTTATGGACGGCCTCTAGCCACATTCATTGACCTTCGTGTGCGTACATTTTCTACCTCCCCCATCATGTCGATTCGTAGGTGTCCCCGCCAAAGTTAAATCATTTTGTTTAAAAGGTTTTTTTTTTAACCTCTATTACTTCGTAAAGGTTTTATTTTAAAACTTGTATTACTTCGTGACGGGTTCTTTTTTTTACCTTAACAAGGTCATACAACTGTGAAGGGAGCATAAAGACGCAACCAAATTCGTTTCTTTGTTAATTTGTCAAGCCAGCTTGGCAGGGAGGAATGCGGAAAACCTTGCCCACAATTCACCAGGACGCAAAGGAGAGAGCAGCGTTGCACACTGCAACCCCCCCCCACCTCCCCCTTGTGGATCTTTGGCTGTCCCCTTGTGACTCTTTGGCTGCCCCCCCCCCCTCGTGACTCTTTGGCTGCCCCCCCCACGTGACTATTTGGCTGCCCCCCCCCTTGTGACTCTTTGGCTGCCCCCCCCCCCCCCCCCGTGACTCTATGTCTGCCCCCCACCCCTCGTGACTTTTTGGCTGTCCTCGCTTGTGGGCAGCCGGGTTTTTTTTGTTACATAATTAAATCTTAAACGTAATTTAACACAAATATAATTATCTTTTATACATATATATACGACAGAGAATGGGTTGCTTTGGAACCATATGATGATGACAAAAGTGTGCAGTATTGTTGAAGAATAACCGTGGAGGACAAATCATTTTTAAATACACGGAAGTTTATTTCATCGCCCACTTTGTTGATTTAAGTCAGAATGTGTGCGTGTTTGTCATCTCGCTGCATGCTCGCTCAATCAAAGTAATCAAACTTTGAAGGTAACAACAACACACAACCGCAGCGATCGCATTACTTTATTTGTTGATTTGTCAAGCCAGCTGACAGGGCAAAATGCGGAAAACCATGCCCACTATGCACCTGGACACAATGAGAGAGCAGCAGAGACTGAACTAAGTGATATTCATCATTAGACCTCCTTTGCCAGTACCAAAATATAATAATAATAAGGCTTTTCCCCTTTTCTTTTCTGGCAACAAAACTGAAACATTTTTACGAGGATTCGCGTGTGCATCAACCACAATACTTGTGGCCAAAATGCAAACCAAAAACACACTCTGATCATATAGGCATTGTCCTTGAAACTGATTGGTCCACACCAGAGATGGCTTTTTTTTAGCCTCGTCCCAATCGGTGCTTGATCAGAGGACGCCAAAAGGCGTACACATCTCAAAGACAATGGACTATGAAAGTAGTCAGGGCTCGGGGTAAGCATCTACATCATTAGACCTCCTTTACTCGCCTGACAATTAAATCTCAGAGCAACATATGCTTAATAAACACAATGAAGAGACGAAGCAAAGTTGCACACTGCAAACCAACCCCCCTGTGAATCTTTGGCTATCCCGCTTGTGGGCAGCCGGGTGCTTTTTGTTATATAATTTTATCTTAAACGTAATTTAAAGCAAATATAATTATCTTTTATATATATACGGCAGTGAATGGGTCACTATGGAACGATATGATGACGACAAAAATGTGCAGTATTGTTGAAGAATAACCGTGGAGGACAACATTAGTTGTTAAATAGACAGAAGTTCATTCCATCGCCCACTTTGTTCATTTAAATCAGAGTGTGCGTGTTTGTTATCTCGCTGCATGCTCGCTGCATGCTCGCTCCGTTTGTGTTCCTGTACAGGTATGTGATGCGGATCTCTTTTTAGTCAATCAGATGTTTCCATTTTGAAACATTTGCCAAGCCACTGCCCAATATCAACCCAAACATTCAACAGGAAGGGCGTATCAACGTAAAACACGATCCTTACTTTTTTAGTGTTAGCTATAACGTGTACGGGAGATGCAGAGAATTAAAGGAAGATTCAGCCCAGAGGTCGCAAACGGGTTTTGATTCCTTACCCGACCCGGCCGCACCAGGGTCGCAAATGGGTACCCGTACCCGGCCGGATACGGTTACCCGTTCCCTACCCGTACCCTACCCTACCCGAACTGAGTGACAAACGGTGACTCACCAGTGACTCACGGCCTACCCGTACCCGGCTGCACCAGGGTCGCAAACGGCTACCCGTACCGGGTATCGGGTACCCGGTTGCGACCTCTGATTCAGCCGCAACGCGATTTTCCAGGAAAGCAAATCGCGGTGAGGCTGAACCTCATGGCCTCCTCGTTGGAGGCTGGGAACACCGCATGACCTGGGAGCCCCGATCGGGAAACGAGACAGAGACCAGGCGGAGGGAGACAAGACGGAGGAAGACAAGGTGGAGACAAGATGGAGGAAGACAAGGTGGAGACATGACAGAGGGAGACAAGGCAGAGACAAGATGGAGGGAGACAATGTGGAGACAAGATGGGGGAAGACAAGACAGAGACATGACAGAGGGAGACAAGGTGGAGACAAGGTGGAGACAAGATGGAGGAAGACAAGGCGGAGACATGACAGAGGGAGACAACGCGGAGGGAGACAAGGTGGAGGGAGACAAGGTGGAGACAAGATGGAGGGAGACAAGACAGAGACAAGATGGAGGGAGACAAGACAGAGACAAAATGGAGGACGACAAGATGGAGACAAGATGGAGGGACACAAGGTGGAGGGAGACAAGATGGAGGGAGACGAGGCGTAGACAAGACGGAGGGAGACAAGGCGGACACAAGACGACGCTGCGTGGGTTCTTCCACAGCAACGTCATTGCGAGTAGTGCAGTTGCGACACTGCACAGCTGGAATTTTGCAGTGAACCACGAATGGTCGAGCCAGGGTGGCGCCATCGGTCAAATATAAATTCGCTGTGAAACCACAAAACCGCGAGAGGGATGGGTTTGCTGCATTAGTATAACATACCAATAAAAACTGATTTTTTTTTTTTATACTCTTTGGTTCTTTCGGTAAAATAAAATAAATCACAACGTTTCAGGGGCAACACAAGCGTGACTTTATCGAAAGAACCAAAGAGTATGGATTCCTGCAGTCACGAAAGCTTCAAATCAAGATTTTTTTTTTTACTTAAAATCTCATTGACGGTCCTCAAACTATCCCGAATGGCATTGTACTGATGTCCTCAAGGCTGCATTAAAAAAAAAACATAGGCACAATTCCGTCAAGCGAGGAACCACTCAATCCCAAGACAAACATTCAATTTGCATCCTGTCCGCCCACGTCACCGCCCTGTTGCGGAGGTACCACTCCAGGCAATGCACAGCCACAGGGTCGACCGCTGTGTCCACTTTGTTGGCGAAGAGCTGGCGCTGCCGCACGAGCCACGGCAGGTCGCCCACCCCGTAGACGCAGATCTGCCTCACGTAAGCGCCGCGGCAGGGCGGGTAGGCCGCCCCCGTGGCCACGTCTCCCTGGAACGAGGACCATTTGACGGCGCGCACGATCGCCGACACGTCCGTCGCGTCGTACGCGTTGTGCCAGGGCGTAGAGCCGGGAACCCCGGGCATCCGCTGCAGCGTCGCCCACAGGTGCTCGTCGGGGCTGTAGGTGTCCCTCGACCACTCCACGAAGGCCTGAGCCGTGGGGTCGCTCAGCACGTGCTCCACGAAGGCACGCGTCACCACCATGTAGGCGCTGCCCGCGAACATCGGCGACGGGATGGGCGGGGGGGACTTCTTGACGTCCGTGATTTTCACTAGGTCGCCCACGACCTCGTAGTGATACTCCCAACGATGCCTCTTGTAGCCCGGGGTCTTCGTCGACTCCAAGCTGTTGGAGCCGTGCAGCCCACGCAGCGCCCGCACAATCTCCAGGTTGGTCTTGATGGGGAAGTCGAGGCCGCAGAGGTTGATGAAGTACCTCCAGGGGTGCTCGCCGGCCCGCTCCACCAGCTCGCGCATGCAGTTGAGGTCGGCCTGCACGCGCGACCACGAGGCGTAGACCACCGCCTCCAGCCGGCGGGCCACAAACACGTTGGGGAAGCAGGCGGCGAGGGCGCGCACCGCCTCCAGGTAGGCGCGGGGGGACTTGGCGTCCACGTGGAGGCAGTAGAGGTTCTGTGGGGCGTAGACGGCACGCAGCAGCCTCTCCAGCATGTCCACGCGGTGGTGGGCGATGATGGCATAGGCGATGGGGAAGGCCGCCTCCTCACGGCTCAGCGGCAAAGTCAAGTAGCGCCGCTCACGCTTGAAGGCCGCGCAGTCGTGCGTCGCGTTTAGCAGGCCGCCCTCGTCGAGATTCGCCCCCTTCCGGAATTCCACCGTCAGGGCCAGCAGTGCCGCGTTCGAGGTCGCGTCGTTGTCGGCGTTGTCGCCCCGCACAACGACGGCCTCGCAGTCGATGGGGAATCGGGATCCCCCGATGTCGGGCATCTGGAGGTGCCGCATCGCCTGCGGTCCCGTGGACAACTTCACGCGAATGAAGCTGATGCTGACCGTCAAGCCGACCAAGAAGCACACACCCGCTGCAGCTATTTTCTTGAACCAGGCCATCTCATTGAACGCTCGGCGGCAGCTGTAATCGGCTCCCCGGGTCGGGCTCAGCAGACACAACTGGCTGCTTCTGCTGCCGCCACCACCGCCGCCGCGGTCGATAAGCCGGGGCAACAGGATCCTCGAAGAGTCCCCGACTGAAGGCGTCTTGCGGCTGCCGCTTCGGATTTATCGACGTGGACACCCCCGCACACCCCCCACCGAGGTGCTCGAGTGAGCAAGTGAGCAAGTTTGCTTTCCTTGCTGCCTCTTTTGTTACAGAATATGAAGAGAGCTGCAAGCGTTTGAGAGTATTTGGCTGCCCGCTACAAACTTCCACGTAAAAATTATATTGGCCACTTTGCTGAGCTGCTATACTTTGCGATGGCCAGGTTGCTTCAGACAAAAGAAGCTACGCAGGTCAGTGGGGTTTTACACCTGGAAAGATAAAATAAATGGCTCGGTTTGGTTTTAGAAATTATGCGATGAGTAAATATCTCAAAATAGTTTCCGCTTTAGCCCCAACCCCCCATCTGCCACCCTCCACTCCACACCCCACTTTTTCTGTCACCCACATCTGCTCCAGACTGCATTGACACGCACGGTCAAACATTGCCAAATAGCCCGCATGAGCAGCGTCCTGTGGAGTGGCTTTCATTGGGCAGTGAATATAACAGCATTCTTCAGATCTTTCATGGCTCTACAGAATGCCCACGGCCGTCTTTGTGGGTTTTATTTCTGGTGGGAGTGTGACTTCTCCATTTCGGGAGATTTATGAGAGAAAAAAATGTGTTGTTTGGTTGATGCAACTAGCCGGGGTGCAGATGATTTGGGGTCGAGGCATTATAGGGTTTTTATTTTATTTTGGGGTGATTCCAGGTGAGTTGTTTGGTTTCAAGGTGACTGAATGTGTATCCACTAGGCACTGCTCTCATGTGACCCCGTCCCCTATCCCTCCCTACCCCCTACTCACCCCTCTACTGTGACGCCCGACCCCTCCCCTATCCCCTACTCACCCCTCTATTACCCCCATAGGCCGAGTTTGACTCCTATATTTGGAGTGGAGTGGTGGAGGGGGCAGGGCTTTGCTTTGTCCCTCACACTAGGAATCGAGGGGGGCATATCATTCATTTATTTGCAACTTTTATTGTAAACTACTGAAAATAAATGTAATGAAGGTATGCATCGCTTTATCTTGACCGCCGGTTTAACTAATTCTCCATGGTTCCCACTCTTGTTATTGTACCAAATGATGCTGGGTTGCTCTCCACTTAGCGTGCGCGTGTGTGCGTCTATATATTCCATATATTTCCTAATTTGCCGCCTTACTATCTTATACCGTATCAACCTATACGGTTTACCCCATGTTATTGTACAGGGAAATTGAGTTTTCAAGTCCACACGGTGGACAGCCGGTTCAAAACTGGCAAAACAATATTTTATGTCTATTTGTTTGTGTTTCTCCCTTGTGATGGGTCTTTGTAGGATGAACGTTGAAATGTATAAGGGGCATGGGGTGACCACTTGGGTCTGAATTGGTCTGTGATAAGGTAGGGCACTGATTAGGGTTGGCAGGTATATAGGAGTGTAGTGGTATAGTAGTGTATAGTAACGTAGAAAGTGTAGTGTATAGTAGCGTCGTGTATAGTAGCATACTTGTCACAACCCAAACGGTTTACCCCGTAATCTTATACAGGGGAAATTTAATTTTTAGGTCCATATATCGTAGAGCCGTTTAAATACGGGCAAAAAGTATACATATTTTTTGTTTATCTATTTGTGTTTTTCCTTGTGATGGGACTTTGTAGGATAAACGTTGAGATTTATAATAAGCACGGGGTTAGGGGCCATCCATTTAGTACGTACGCATTTAGGGGGGAGGGGGGGTTAACCCAAATTCTTACGCTTGCGTATGGGGGGTCTACTGACAATGTACGCATAGGAAACGGGGGGGGGGGTTGACGCCTCGATAATAGTTTGTCTACATTGGCCTTCACATGAGTTAGATAGTCCGGCGGTGGACTATCTGTTTGCTTAAACACGTTAATATTATTCATTCTTGATCGTCTCTGCGTGGATTAAAAATCGGGCATTCTATAGGATTCGGGGGGGGGGGTGCGTCAAACGTGCATAGGGGTCAAGTTTTGACAGATTTTTGCGTACGTAACAAATGAATGGCCCCTTACCAATAAGTTCTGAATTGGTCTGTGATAAGGTAGGGCACTGATAAGGGGTTGACGGGGATGATTACACTGGTCTACAGCCAAAATTCTTCCGAAATAAATGTAGTCCAACTTTACTAATTATGGATCACTGAGAATTAAAATTATTATGCTTAAAATTGTTGATTGGCTCTAGTTTTCAAGATATGCGACTGGGTCAGTATATACGACCATTGTCGTGGGAATGGCGGAGGATAAGTGAGTTATAAAGGGAAGGGATCTCAATTTACACCAGAAATGACTAACATACATCTTTGACTGGATCTATGAATAAATCTATGACTGTATTTGGACAATATTTGTTTTTTTAGCAAAACAATGAATGATGCAATCTGAACCTGGTATTGCATCATACATGATTTTAATTGCATCATTTTATTCCTGGAAGTCATGGATAATGTAATCATAACTAAGCTTACATCCCTCTGCTGAACATATTTCCCTATATCAGCTCTAGAAATGATACCACCCTTACACATCAAGCTGGGTCTGATGAAGAACGTTGTCAAAGCCATGGACAAAACACAAGCAGCTTTCAAGCAGAGTGATACCTCAGTTCACGAACGCTTCTGTTCACGAACAACTCGGTTCACGAACAGAAAAATTCATAAAAATATGCTCCGGTTCACGAACTCTGCTTCGGTTCACGAACAGGAGCCGCGGCCATTTTAATGCTATTTCCAGGCTGTCACATGGTCGTGACTTCCTGTAGGAAGATCGTGGAGAGAAGAAGAGACACAGAAAGAAGTACTGTGAGTACTGTGAAGACACTTTCAGTGACTTTTTGCTTTTTGGTGTGCTTTTTAGCACATACAGTACTGTACTGTACTATTGTACTGTACTGTACAATACTGTACTTACTGTATTGTACAGTTCACCCGTTTGAGTGCTTACTGAAGTCATCTCAAGCAAGGTTAGTGTTCTCTCTTTATACATTACTATACTGTACAGTACTAATGTGTATTGTAATTTGTTTCATATTTTTGTGCTTCAAAAACCAAAAAAAAAGGTCAGAACGGATTAACCGGATTTACATTGAACCCTATTGGAAAATGTGCCTCGGTTCACGACCAATTCGGTTCGCGACCAGAGTCAGTTCACGAATTAAGTTCGTGAACCGAGGTATCACTGTACCTCGGTGGAAAATTTCCAAGGTTAAGTGAAGCTAAGATAAAGGAATGTGTCTTTGTTGTCCTCAGATTCGTGAACTTCGTTGAGGTGATGCATTTGACAGTGCACTGCATGGCAAGGAAAAGACGGGATGGAAAGCCTTTCACAGTTAGTGGCAACACATTTTCTCGAAAACCACAAGGCAGACAACTACGGGGAGTTAGTGGAAAACTTCCTCAAGGCATACAAAAGCCTTGGTTGCAACACGTTACTAAAAATACATTTTTGCACTCTCATCGAGATTTTTTACCACCGAACTGCAGAGCAGTGAGCGACGAGCATGGCGAGCGATGTCACCAGGACATTGCAACAATGGAGAAACGCGATCAGGGCAAATGGAGCCCATCACTGCTTGCAGACTATTGCTGGACAGTGTCAAGGGATGCTCCATTTAATTAATACAAGAGACAAGCCAAGAAGCGCCAAGTAGACACTGAATAAGGACTAAACGATGTACTTATATATACTTCGTAGTTTTTTTGGCTTTTGCTTGGCTTTTGCTTCAAAATACATTTGATTTATTTAACCCTGTTACATGAACAGAACAGGTGACATGTTATCATGTAAAGCGACCATAAACACATGAAAAGAATTAGGTTTACAATTTATGATCTAAAACTACACAATATAGATGTAAAATGTAAATACTTAAATATCTTGGGAACAGTAGCCAATCATTTCTTTTCATTGTCGTATTTGAATTCAGCCCATCAAAATCCATAATAAACAGCACATTTCGTCTCTGAAGCAGACGGCGTCTAAAAAATTGTAGACCAGTGTTATAGTCAAAGACCACCGTACTCTGGATGGTTTCCTAACAATAAAACTCGTTATTGATAACAACAGCGACAAAGGGCGGGCGACCACGAAGCCCCACGGTATCGCTCCAACTCACGGCGTGGCTCACTGTCCCAAAACGTCAGGAAGAGAATGGCTCAGCCCCTTCTTAACATGACGACAAAAGTGTCGGTTCCATAACAAATGTGTTTTTTTGGGTGAGATCGCGTAAATATTTTTTGTACGCGTCTAACCCAAAACACCTGGGTAATATCGGTCGTGAAAGCCTATGGGTTAAAATGTAACTTGTCTCCACACGGCCTCTTTCTGACGCTTAAATCGGCCCCCCCTGCTTTGCGATTAAAACTGGGACATTGACATTAACAACAAAAACAAACTTCGATACTATGTACCAACAACATAAACCATGTTATGGTGCATAAGCACTTCTACTTTTAGGCGCACGCCAAGTCCTCAAGTCTTGCCGGTGGGTGGCGTTGACGTTTGCGGACATGTATCCAATGGTGCGGAGGCTGATGTCTCCTAAGTAATGTCGGTAGGCATCTCCGTTTCACCGGCACCGCTGGTGTCAGTCTGATGCTGTTGCGATGGTGTCTCAGGTGACACCTCCTCCTCCTCCTCACTAGAGCTGTCGTCTGCTTGTCGCTGGTGCCGCAACTTAAATCGAGACACGTGGCGTCTTGTGACGTGTCGTCAGTTGTGATACTAACAGATGCCGCAAATGCAACGTTTAACGTGGTGATGGGCAGCCAGCAGGGATGTTGCCCAAGTTGGTTGCCATTATATCATCGGCACCACTCTAGTGTCTTGTTGCTGGTGGACCCCCGTTGTTGCTGTAGCGTGTCGTGTTTCCGGTGATGGATGGTGTTGTTTGCCCCTTCATTTGGGTCTCATTTTTTCATCCTTGGGACCGTGTCTGTTCTTGATTCCAGTGTCCCAGTTCACGTTTGAAGATACGATCGGCAAGCCCTCTGCAGGCCTCTTCGACCTCTTGGAGATCATCGTGCAGGTAATTATCGGCGTTGCAGTGGGCGCGCACAATCCGGTGCAAGCTCAGCTCACAGGACCGCAGACCAATCACCAGTAGCTTTTTTTAAAATCTGAGAACTCCAAATGAAGTTCCTGGCATAGTCTGACCTATTTCATAGAAGTAGGCCATCGTGCTTTCCTGCCTTCCCAACACTCGGGCCTTCATCCGCTCCAAATGCTCGGGAAGGATCAACGCGCCAATGAAAGTTCATTTGAAGCACTGCACGAAAATCCGACCGTGACTCAACAGCTGTACTCACGTGTCAAATACCAATCCAGTGCTTGCTCCCTTTGGGTGCAATCGAGCCGACTGCAGCATGATTTACGGCCTTCGGTGAAGGTTCGCCGTTGTTTCGACAGGTGCGCAGCCACTCACGTACGATCGCTCTGATCCCTTCACCCGTGAAGTTTGGGATGACTTGACTCAAGTCTAGCATCACTGGGTAGTTTTTTCGTCCTGACATGACACGAAAATGGGCTTTACCCTTTCTGGCCATAATGAAACAAGAGATGTTACAACACCAAACTGAAACCTTCAGCGAGGAATCAAGTTACTGCATTAACCAAACACACAGGGCACTTGTGGCGAACAAGCAAACAAAAAAGATGCTCTGGTAGTGGATGATGAAGGCATTGTCTTTGAAACCGATTGGTCCACACCATAGACAGCTTTCTTTAGAGCCCAGTCTCAAACAGTGTTAGGCAGCGTTGCCTTTTGGTGTCCTCTGGTCTAACACTGTTTGAGACTAGGCTCTAAAGAAAGCTGACAGAGACAGATCGACACGTGGATTAGAGAGTGCACGCGTGGGTAGAGACATCATCATTATGATCACCACCACCGCATTTATCTCCGTCCAGCAGTGAATAGACCATGGTGGTGATGATTACATTAGAGAACACATACAGGGTGGAGACATCATCATCTAGTATTAGAAAAATCCTGGTGACGATTGCACTCCATCCAGCAGTGGATAGACCCCTTCCCCTCTGCACCCATCAGGGACCCAACAATAAACAGGGGTCGGTTTAACGGAGCTCATGGGGGTGACCCCAATAGCCCCCCCCTACCCCCCTCATCGTTATATGTGGGGCCCACGGGGCGCGGAATGTCGTCAACCCCACTATCTCGGCGATCCCATTGAACGCT